CAGCGGCGATTTCGGGAGCGGGCGCCCGGCGCCGCCGCCACCACCTCCCTCCTGCGCGAAGCCCGAGCGAGGGACGCGGCCCTTGCTAGTGTTAACAGGGTGCAAAGTGTTACTTGTCCTGTACTGTACTGAAAGGGTGAATTGATCAGTGGCTGTATTGTACTGTATGAAAACTCATAAATTGCCTTGTATTGTTTATAACAGACTGTCCCGTGTCTCCCCCCCGCCCCCCGCCGCGTTTTTCGGTGACGCGTGTTACCAGTTAGGTCCCACAACTCAGTGGTGCTAATTCTCCCGTATCCAATGGTGCTCCTGTGGACGCTAACTGAGGACATGCTCATCGCAGCTTGACGTCTACGTGTCTTTCCCGTCCGTTTGTACGACGTAAGACACACCACACACACACACACACATACACACTCACAGCGATAAACTTGAATTTGTTTCAAAGTACCATTGACAATCCGATGTTTTCTATGTGTGCTTTTATTTGGCTTTTCCCGAAAGCAGCTCCGCAGCACCTGTTTTTGCTGGGAGACGATTTCATCCCGGCCGCTTTGCAGATTCGGCCTGGGGAGGTTGATCCGACAGGAGCCGGCGGGGAGGAGGAGGTCTTGTGGAGAGGTTGCCTTTTGGGGGAGACTAGAGCCAAAAGCGATTGGGCTTAGCCCCAGCGCCGCCGTCCCCACCCTGGGAACGAGGGCGAACATCGTGCATCTCGGCTGGCAGAGGAGATCCCACCCGACACCGCCGTTTGGTGGCCCACCGGGTGAAGGGAGCCCCCCTCCCCAAATCTCCACGCGAGCTGCTTTCTGGAAAAGGGAAAATCCGAATATATTTTATATCTATTTGAAAACCGCGTCTGGTATTTACCCCCTGTCACCAACTGGATTTGCATATCGTTGTTTGCCACAATATTTGTTCCGTCTTAAAATAAATTTGCTTACTTGTGTAGTCTTAACTGTCTGGTCTGCTTCTTGTAATCTGGTTTCTCGGGTGGCTGCTGCAGGGATCAGCCACTCCAGCGTGACTTTGTGGCGTCCCTCGTCGGGGCGCTTGCCGTGAACGCAGCAAGGAAACGTGTCTGCCTGGGAGGGGAAATAATTCCAGCTGAGACTCGGCATGTAAACGTTTCGCTCTCAGTTACCTCGCGTTCATCTCCCGGGGGCATTTTCAGTTTTATGTCTTCTTTTCCCCTTCACGCTCTCCAGTAAGCGTGCAACAGAGGGATTGCTGCGTTTCAGTCCGCTTCCCAGTGAAGAGATTAAATTGT